GCCAGTACGAAAGTTGTCGAAGTAATTTTCAAGAAATTTCAGCAACGTCGTTGATACCGAAAAAAAGGAAAGGTCTTACGGAAATCCTTATCTCTCTCCCTTCTCGCTGGTTATGATTAGGAATGCATGAGTGAGGATTTTAATTTTTTAATTTTTTAAAACGCATTGTTAGTAGTTCTCATTAAGGGAATGAAATCTTAATTTTAACAATGCACTAATGATTTAAAAATATTTTATAATAATACATATAAATGAAAATAGTCGATGACGAGGATAGTATTTTAAATGTTATAATTAGGGCTCGGAAGTTGTATATAGTTATAACTTATAAATAATAATACAAATATTTCTACAGGTAAGTCTGGTAAGTAATATACAATAGTTTAAGTGCAAATAAAGTGTCAATTTAATTTAATTAAAATTACTTGAATGGTTTATATATTTATTGCCACTATTCTAACTTTGGTTTGTTGTTACTGTTACATTTTTCACCAATATCCATATGGGAGTATTAAAAAAAGTAAAGTTCCTAATAATGAACCCGTGTAACTTATAACTTTGTGGGTGTTGGCAGAAAAAATTAACAGTGGGTACCTGTATTGAAATAAATTATTTTGAATAATAATTCACCAGTGCGTGGGTTTGATAATTTAAATAATTAAACTCTTCTAATATTTCCTATTGATTTAAAATTATATCCACAAATTCGCCATATAAAAAAAAACTCAAGCAGACTTTTGCAAATTTTACCATCATTACATTATTATTTTTCTAATTATTGTCAACCGTCACAGTACTTTGTCAAAACACATAGGTACATATTAAACAATTCTTATATAGATACATTAAAAACAAAAACGTATCCACAATTGATCATTAACAGTAAATTACTTTGTGGCGAAAGTGTGGATAAAATTGACACTTTATTTATACATGTGGATTAGGCCTTAACGGGGACACCACAATAAAAAAAACGCGCCATGTATAATACCTCATGCATTTAAACGGACTTCATTATTCCAATGTTGTCGTTTATCGCTAAGGTGGTGTGGAATTTTATACACAAATAGTGGCGTATATAGGGGGTGGGCACGATGGGCTGCAGCCCACAAAATAACAAATACGAATATATTCATAGAAACTGTTAAATATATATAGCAGACAGTATAGCCTCTAAGTAATAGATCACTTGCAAGTTTCTGTCTACTATGGTCTATAGCCCGCCCCAAAAATTATTTCTATATACGCCACTGAACATGATACATTTTGAGTTTTGACCATCAGTTTTGAAAATTCTTTGACAAAGTGTCATACTTAAGATTTAACTAATTCGCTTTGAACTAGATGTATTCTTAGAAATCGTTTGTATAAATGTTACACTAAATAGTGACGGATAAAATGTTACATTTTGCTGGGAGGTAGGTAGTCAGGTAGATGTCTACGTGGATAACAAGCGTCCACAATAAAATCGCATTCTGTGTAATCGACCATGCCGTCAGTAAGTCAGCTAATAAATAATTTTAATAGTAATTAGTAGGTATATATTTACGATAAATAAATGTTAGATATGGAATTTCGTTGGATAAATACAATTTTTTTTGCATTTGTTTTTTTCAAAGAAATATTCAAAAACGCTAATTATGCAGTTTATATCAATTTTCATTAAAATATGCAAAAATTAAACTTCTATGCAATTCTGTATATGAGTCAAATCGTGGACATAATATAGCTAGTTTGTATTTGCGGATTAGAAAAAAAATGTTAATGCATTGAAATCCTAGCCCTATACTAATGAGTGATAAGTAGTTGGTAATATTACTGTAGTTTCCTCTCACCTGTGTGCTGTACCGCCTGTACCTACCCTATAATTTTCATTTTTTTTTATCAATTTATGTTAACCATACTTATTAATAATATAATATTATACAGGTACAAATTACAAATAAGACTTAGTATGTACCGAAATGCCAAGTACGCGCATGTAAGAGAAATATACCTGTAAGGTTTTCGAAATAAAAATATAGTTGAGGTATAGGTGCCTATAATACCTACGTAGCGAGACGACGAAACATTTTTTAGTGTCACGTATGTATAAGTGGTGAAATTTTCAGCTTATATTTTTTTTAATTGCGATTTCGCTGTTATAAATGTATTTGACGTCGACAATTGTCGAGAACAAAAGACGACGGCCAATTTTGAATTTAAAAAAAGTAATTTTGAACAAATTATTTTCATTAAAAACAAAAACTATTCTCCTCGTTGAACAAGTTAACTACCCACACATAGACAGGTACCACACACCAAAGTACAATTAGGCACCCATCATTTGTACAGGAAAATCCGGTATATCAACGAGGCGCGAGTTTTTCGTGTCGTGTAATTTTTGTAGACATAATAAGTATCGACCAGTAGATCAGTGGAAGTGTTATAACTATAAGAGGCAGCCACTGAAATATAAAATATAATTTTCAAACTTTATAGAATTACGAAAAACCCGGCACCTCAAGTTTAAAATCTGTTTAATAATATTGTTACTTCAATATAGTCACTGCAGACGTTTATTATTTGAAGAAAATTTTGGTTGCGTACATACGGTCTACATAGTATGTAAGAAGTATTACCCATATTTATTCTGTATTTCTGTGGTATAAACGAGTGTATAGTAAACTAGTAAAGCTCTACGGAAAATGTAGGAAATCTAAAATCAAACCCATCGATATAGATTTCCTTTTAAGTGTACCTACTAAGTATACGCAACGGATTAAGGGCAATACCGAGACAATAGATCATCGAGCATATTTTTTCGTTCGAATTCGCACGTGTAACCTCCTCTATTAATTTATCATCATCAGTCGGTATGACTATTGTTTTGTTTTTTTTTTTTTTTATTTTTTACGCCTTAAAAATTTCAAATCGTAAATGACCTGCAGTGGCTGCAGACCGTGAACAATTGCGATTCGTTTCGGTCAGAGAAAAATACGTGGCCAACACAAGCTTGCATAGCTTTCCTCGTTTCAGATACGCTTAAGCCTCGAGTGAAATCATAAATACATCGCAAAACCGTATAAATTGATAATATATATTATTATTATTATTATTATTATACAGGTTGTACCGCACACACGCAGGCCTCGTCGTCTGCTTTTCAAAATATTCATAACTGGACCAACAAAATTAATATAATCGTGTGACTAGCTGATTATTATTTTGAATTTCATTTTTTCAAAACCATCATCGTAGGAAACATCGTTTTTTTTTTTCTATTAGGACATTTAGACATTAAGATACAGAAATAATCTTCGACAATTTCATAGGTATTTTTACACGTTTATTTCATAGAAAAATTAAATAAGTAGGTACCTAAAAAAAAAGAATGATAATAGATTCATAAAAAAGCGAATAATATTATAAATCCAACACAATACTTAATAATACAAAAATTAATAGTTAACAAAATAAGTCTTAAGTATAAATCATATAAAATGTATAAAAAAAAAATAGGGCACTTACCATATTTCTAACCTGTTTACCGTTACAAAAACTCATAATATAGACGTATACAAAATAATAAAACGAAATTTTATATTGGTAGTTTGTAAATAATATAAATCAAGGAAAATGCCCATTATTAACACAAAAATACAATAATAAACATTGTACATGGTCAGATCGATCTAATTCAGTCAGATGAAATATATATTTAAATACATATATTATATATATATTATATACACATATATAACATAAAATTATTGTCATGGAAAAATAGTGGATTTTTTTTTAAGTAAAACTAGTGGTGCATAAGACGAAGACCCGTAGCGATTTAACAGTCGATATGTATTATTCAAAATCCTAAGACTTGATTTCGTGAGCAAATTCATTTAACATGAACCACCTCTTATTGTACTATTTTTATCATTTTCCCAACAGTGTGGAATACCTTTAACATTATTTTGTTCCGACAAAATATGGTAGTCTACTGACAACCAGTTTTAACCATTATATAAAAATACAAACCTAACATATAACAAAGCACATGTAAAAAAAATTTTACAAAAAAATAAAACATGTAGGTACATCTGAAAATACAACAAACATTTGGAAGACACTAGTTGTACATACAGTTTTAGAAACGAGAGTATAATCTGAATGCTGTAGTTTAAGTAAAAATTCAATAATCACATGTTCATAAGGCACTTTGGAAGCTCACAGTGAGGTAAATCCGTAAAAAAAAATACATAATAAAACATTGATACAAAAAGAAAAAAACATTTTATCACATTGCGTTAAACAATTCATGAGCTTTGAAATTCGTAATTATATAATGATAAATTCGCTTAAGTACTACAACTTATAAAAATAATTAATACTAAAGAATAAACTTACATGTAAGTTAAGACGATTATCATTTAATTTTATATATATTTTAGGAACAAGTGTAGCGGTTAATCCTTAAATACTGCATACATAATATTAATATTATATAAAATAATACGCACACTGTCCTACAATTACATAAGAAAAAAAAAATACAACTTAACATAAGACACATGCATATAACATTTTACATAAAAACACAGTTTCAAAAACATCTGGTCATATAATGAGGACAATATTATTCATATAAAAAATTCCAATGTTTAGGAAACAATATTAAGTCATCGTGTTTAAAAATATTTTTGGACATTATACAATACACAATGGATAATAATTAATAACTGCAATTATAATAAAATCAATAGAGTCAACTCGAATTGATATTGAGCCTTAAAATTATTTGTTCAAACGAGTTAGGAAATAATTGTTTCATTTCATTCAATAAAATTGGAAGCTAATACTGAACCCTGATCAATGAAGTTTCCATGAAATCACAACAATGAGCAAATATGAAGGTTTGTTTAATAATAATAATAATAATAAAAAATGTAAAGTTAAAAAAAAGTTAGAGAGCCTCAACTACTCAAAACTTTTACATTGGATGTTGTGACGCATCTAGGAACTTACTCTAACGCAGTGTGGTACTTGCGTATGTGCACCCTTAGATTACCACTCTGTTTGGCGCGATATTCACAATGAGGACAACGATGAACTGGCTCTTTCCCTCCACATTCAAATACTTCATGACGTTTCAATGTACTCTTCCATCGGTACCTCTTGCCGCAATGCTGACAACTGAATGGATTTGCTTGAGTTGTACGCACATATTTGGAGTTTTGTTCAAAGTTTTTCCACCATAAAGAACCTAAAGGAAAAACTATAATAAATATACATCATTCATTAGCACACAAAATCGACTTTGTCAAAAGACAAAGTCGTTATAAATACCTTGATCCTGCATGTTTGGTGGTATGTTCATGCCTCCGTATTCAGTAAGTTCCATGCCTAAAAGAATAACATCTTTAAAGTTAGAGTATTATAAAATATTTAACTAATTATTAGCAGTCAATGACTTGACTTAAATTAGTTTACTACTACTCTATAGTAACAAATCCATACAACAAGAAACAATACATTTTGATTTAATAAATGATTTTTACCTTCTTCAGGCCGAAAATTTGTCATGCTGATTTGTGAGGATGATAAGTCTAACTTGGCAGTTGCGCTTGTCGTACACATATCATTATGAAGATTATTTTCACTTTCACTAGCTTCTTCTTCTGTATCAGTTTTCTCAAGTTTAATATCGCTTATCGAGCCACTAGAAGGCCAGTACTTTTCTTCTTTATCTTCAACTATTAAACCATTGACTTCGGACTTTTTCTCTGGATTATCTTCGTCGGCTTGAATATTTGCAGATTCCACCACAGGTTTAGGAATGACTGGAGGAGATGGTATGTTCGCCTTGCCTTCGCCAGCTAAACTGGGTGCAGTGGGATTTGGTGTATTGTTAACATCTAAACTATTAGCATTAGTACGACTCGGATTAACTGGTGACACAACAAGACTACTAAAGTTCTTCACTGGTTGTACTAATTTACGTCGTTTTATATTTGGTATAGGAGGTGCAATAAGTGTTGGGGGTGGCAGTGGTGGTGGGACAGTCATGGATGGATCAAAAGCACCATCAGTAACTTTAGGTGTAACAGACTTTTTTGGTAGACCAGGTGAAATATTTCTGGTTGCATTTTTTCGAGAATCTAATTTTCGATCAGATCGACCACTACTTTCAGTCAGTCCTTTAATTTGCAACGATTCAGCTGCTTTCAGGAATGAGCCAAGTTGTTCTTGGGTAATGTTCACTTCACCGCGGTACATATAGTCCATCATAGACCGTAATTCTTGATATGTTACATCTTTAAGTATAAGCACCGGATATTTGTCAAAATGTTGATTTAACAGCATCTAAAAGTAAACAAGAAGAGTAAAAATTAGTCTAAAAGACTTCTAGTAATTATGAAACATTTAATAAATAAATTAGGTATATTTCTGTTTATAAGTACTTATAACTTAACATAAGAAAATTGACTATAACAAATGTTATAGTATTTTTTATATATACAAGATGTAAGTTTTTAAAAAAACTAACAACAAAAAATGTACCTACAATTCTTTGAGCTAAAATTAAATAATTATACTTTCAGAAGCTGGCATAAGTCTAATGTGAAATCAGAAAATACCTACTCTAAAAAAAAAAACAATTCTCTGAACTATTCAAAACAACTCATTTCATTCAACACAATCATAGAAATAATTATTATTTAATGCAATTGGCTTAAAATTAAATGTACAGATAAAGTGACTAGTAATAAGTTATGTGATATATTTTTATTGTAGCCTAACTGCCCAACACAGTAGGTAGGCTATTATTAAATAATAATTCACATAGCTTGTTACTGGTATCTCATAAAAGAGGTCAAGTTGACAAAGTGTATCAGACAGCTGTCTGAATAATGTCATACACTCAATAGTCTACCGGAACAAGAAAAAAAGTATGAGCTAATTTCTCCTCACACATACAGGCTAAACAATATATTATATTCTACACATTTATTGCCTATTGTGTGACATATTATTTTCTTTTTTTTTTTTTATTACATTTATAAATTCCTTAAAAAATTCATTTTTAATAATACCTATAAGAAAAATCAAAATACTATTAAGTGTTAAATTGTATTTGTTCTGTTCATTCTATACACATTTAATAAACATATATCATATAAATATATAATAGATATAAGTGAATTTTTAAAATAAATAATTAAAAGACTAAATGAGGTAACAGAGTAACCATCTTAAAAAAAAAAAACTATCTAGGCCACTTTTTTTATGATGTGCCTTCTATTATAATTGACAGTACACTCAAAGTTGGATGTACCAAATCAGTGAATGGAAAATAGAAAGGCAATAATAAGATGAGGCTAAACACAGTTATATAATAGTTTTCAACAAGATTTTCACGGTATTTGTTTATTTAAAAATCATTCAGTTGAACTAAAAGTAATTCAACAAAGACCTAAATATAAATTATATTACATTTTTAGATGCAAATTCATAAACTACACATGTATAACATTTTTCTACATGAATAATTTTTTTTTAAATCAACACCCAACTATTAAGTACCTAATATAATAATTAAAAAGAAAGAGATGATAAAGAAATATGCTTAAATAAATAATATTTTATGTACCTTTAATTTATATTTAATTAAATAATATAGTATTACTTATTACCTACTAATAATAGTAATGTGTAGAGTATTCTATTATCACATAGTTATCCTTCAATTCCAATATTGTGATTTGTAATACCAAAATATTATCTCGAAACAAAGATTTATAGGTACAAATATGTTCCCCAACAATATTTCTACGAATAACAATTTGTACATACCTAAGTGAGTAAGGTAATTTTCAATGATAATAGTCTATGGTCAGTTAATGAAAAAAATAATAGATTATAACAACACATATACAAATTATATTGAAACCTTTCAAATAATTAACATAAACATTTTATTCATACAAAAACATTAGAAAAATTCAATGACAACATTTTTATAATTTTTAACATCGAATATATTTTATTTATTACTCTAAACTGAAAAAAATAGGAAATAAAAGAATAAAACATTATTTTTCTACATATTTAGTAGTATGTACAAAGAGTATTTTCAAATATGACAAATAAACTAAATATTCTCTCTTATCTCTGAAATATAGTTTAATAAGCAAAAAATAAACTTTTTTCTACGAATCATTTTTCAACAATTTGTCAACATATTTGTTAACCACATCACATTATGTAATAACTTTTTGTACTTAGTTAGGTAATGATAAATAATTAAACAAATTATGCAAACTACAATACATTATTAAATGTAGGGTAGAACATACACAGTAATTTAAGTGAAAAATTAGTTAACACTACACCTATCCATTAAATATCCCTACCTAGCTAAAAAATTGTATTAAAAACAAATGTATTCTGTAATATATAGGTATATTTTAAATTTAGAAATTAAATTTATAAAAAGTTTAAAATTTTTATAATTCTTAATGACACGGTCAAAACTAATAATTACTGTTTTTAGCGTTAGGGGAAAAATAATTGATCTAGTAATCATTGGACAATTTATAGTTTCAGTTTGTTAACAAGGTCTGATCAATAATAATTAACATGTGTCTCAATAAAATAAAAATTGAATACAGTAAAGTTGAGAAAATATGATTAAAAGTTTTAAAATTGTATTTTAAATTATAATAAAATAATTTGGTATCTAAATATCTAATGAGTATTAACATATTGCAAATGTGTGTGTATAACTAAAAGAGAAAAAATGGTAATTAAAATTGTGTTAAGACTTCAATATTACCCTAACAAAAGTATAAACTACTTTGATTTATAGATAACCAACTTTTTTATTATACCAAATTTTAAAAGACAATAGTATTTAATTTGAAATTACAATCAACCCGAAAAATTAATCATAAAAAAAAAATGTAACATAACCTTTTGACACGCCAATGAAAAAGAGATAGTGATAATTACTTGATTTGATTGTTTTATTCTTTTAAATTACTGAAGTAACAAATAAGTTTTCTATGACTAAAATATTTTAATAAAGTTACAAAAAATATTCAAACATATTTTATTTGTTCATTAGAAACTATAATGACAATTATTTGGAATTCAGTGGTTTTCGATTAAATTTATCAATTAACAAATAATAAAAACAATAATTCATTTATTAATGATTAATATTATTATTTACTCACTGACATTGATATTATCTAAACATTTTTTTTTATTTTATTATTATTATAACTTGACATTTTTTTTTTGTTTTATTATTATTATAACTAAAGATTTTATACCTACATTTAAATATGCAATGGAAAACAATTATAAATATATGTATCATAGAATGAATCGATGCAAAATATTTATTTTAGAAAATTATTATTATAACTATGCAATGATCTAATTTTTAATTTAAAATCAACAATTTCCTAAAGAATGAATATGATGTCATAACAATCATGAAAAAATAATAAAAGAAATCAAACATTAACAATATGGTAACATCACACATTTATCATAAATTTGTGTAAAGGAAATTTACCAATGTATATTATTGTGTTTGTTTAAAAATATAGCATTCAATTAATTCTTACCTAATGCTTGTTTGATACTTTAATAGAGATAATAAAGGTAATATATCACTAAGCACAAAATGTAGGTACCTACATAAAAATAGAGCTAAATATAGGAACTATAGTTTAAAGTTAAAATTTAATTGCCTACACTAATGTCGACTCACAGGAATACTCAATTAAAAATGTTCATTTTTAGGGACCACGTGAACAGCTTAAAACTTGGTTTAGCAGTAAACCGAGGTTTATTAATTCATTAATATTTAAAAGTTAAATTCAATTTTTCTTTGAACATTGAATATAATATCATACCTAGGTAATAATTTGGTAATATTAATGTCTGTGTTCTACAGTCTATACATTACCACTAATAGGTTAGGTATCTACTATATATAATATATTATATTAATTATCAAACGACGTGAAAATGCAGCTTTGCCACTTCAAATTAAATAGGTTCCCTACACTAGAATACTCATACAATGTTAATACAGTAGGTATATTGTGTAACCTACTGGATTCAACTTATTATACTTAACTTTTTGTATGTTGATATATTAACTATGATAGGGTATCGATAAATATTATATCATACCTACTTAATTCTACTATTTTGAAATCACATAATTAATTGTTTTGACAGTTTAATATTCTGTTAAATAATAATTTTACTTTGAAGTATAAACTAGGTACATGGGTACTTACTATTTAAACATTTTATAAATTACTTAACTTCTATTGTATTTGTATGCAGTAAGGTAAGCTAGCTATTTCTTATACATAGCTATTCGGGGCAATTTATCAGGAAACTGATTATACTGGTGTCAAAGGTAAAAAAAAAAAAGTTATGAAGGAAGCAATAAGATAACTTTTTTTAGCTATGAATTAATATGGAACATTTTACATTATTGTTATGGTATTATGGACCCTAAAAAATAAATATAATTCAACTTTTTCAGTAGGTAAGTAGGTACGTACAACAAACTGTTGATTGCTACTCATCAAAATTCAACTTTATATCACCATCCTAACATATATACATCTTCAAAACAAGTTTAAGACACATCCAACCAGACTTACTTACATAACTACTGCCATGACTATACCTACCTCAATTCAGAAGATTCTGGCTTTCTATAGCCAATACATAAATTAATAAATCAATAGAGAAATTTTTAAAATATCAGTGTTATCCAAACAATACAAAAGTTACATGAAATCTTTATATTATATTAATATTTTAATAATTGAATTCTTTGTATCAGAATATTTATAAATTTACCAACATATAGGTTCTTGTAGGTAGGGCGGGAGGTAGGATTAGTTGCATAAAAAAATTAATTTAATTCATGAATACTGGCTAATTTAAAAAAGAACCTACTGTTAGATAATGTTTATTTTACAGTCAAATAAAATTGTCAATTGTAATAGTTTTACTGACACCTCAATTAAAACCAGATACAGTTCAGTTCATCGGAGACATCTACTAAAAGAATATAGTAAATTAGTATGCTAAATTTAATGATGCTGATAACCTTTCATAGGACCTATTAACGACTTTTAATATTCTGATTCATTTTCTATATCATTCATATTATATCAATATAATACACCCGTATGCGAGCCCATATGTCATATTATGTACCTAGATTATATTTCAAATACTGTAGTATTTGTAATCTAACCTAAATGAAAGGATATTTCAATAGATAAACATAAAATATTTTGGGTATGTACAGTTTTTGTATCATAGTAAGTACCTAACAAAAACATGAAAAGTTTTTTTTTTTTTTTCAAACAGTTATTGACATTTGAAAACTTAGATATAATTTCAAATAATTACGAGTTAACAATAAATAACCATGCAGAGAAGTAGTGTGAACACAACTTTTCATATAAATCACTATACCGCACACTGATAAAGATTTAGGTTAGTTTAATCTTATGATCCAAAATCAAATAATAAAAAGACTATTTTAGTCTGCAGTCTTTTATTTTAGTCAGAGTAATGCAATGAGCAACAGACAACAGTTTAACATAAACGTCGAGTACCCAAAGCTTTCGATCAATTCTAACCAACGGCCAAATAAAAATCACGTTTTCGATTCACCAATAGCGGATTGGGCAATAACAAAACCACCAAAAAAGTTTCGAGAGCAACAGACGTCCGGCATTGAAACAATGATAAAAACAACAACAACCTCGACCACGACAACAAAGAAAAAGTTGGAAGTTTCGAGGGCGAAAAAATCGATACGTCCTGGCAGACTCAACAGGTGCTCCGTGCGGTCAAACAACGAAAACGCGGCACAACATATGGGACGCGCCGCAACGTGGATGACATCCCGGCACGATAAGAGTCGGATGGACGACGACGTCCACAACAACCACAAGGCCGTAACGATATTATATTGAAAAAATGTACGGCGAGGCTTACCGCGAAATAGGGGCTGCAGGCGGACAGGACGACTTTGTGCGCGTTCATGCACTGTCCCTCGGCGGCCAGGGCGCAGTCCACCAGTGATCCGCTCTCCAGCAGGCTGTCGAACACCGAAATCAACGTGTTCTGATGGTTATTCCACCGCAAGCAGAACTGTTGCTGCTGCTGCTGCTGATGGTGATCCATGGCGTGACGGGACGTGGTGCGCGTTCGACGGTGGTTATAATATTATTATGATTGTGACGACAACAACAACAACAAACAGCGATAATATTATATTTTATTATGGTATCGTCCAACCACGCGGACGGCGGACAGCTGCTGACCGGCTAAAAAAACGTGGACGGTATTGCGCTGATCGTACTTGCCTGGCGAAAACGTCTACGCTACAAAATGCGACGACAACAACGGCGACGAGCAGCCGACGCGAAGACGACCTGTTGTGCGCGTTCGCGTGTGCACAACATATACACACACACGCACACACGCACGCACGCACTGACACACGCACGCGCAAGCACGAGACCGGTAGGGCCGGACGGCTGTGTTAGAGCAAACGCGCGCCGCAGCGGCAGCACCACACGCACCACAAAAAGCGCGAATCGCACGAGCACGCGAGATCGCGAAAAACTTATCGGCCGAGATACCGAGCAAAGTCGACGTGCGGATAGTATAATAATTTAAAACGAGTTCAAGATTAAAGATATTCGAAAACAAGAACGTTTAATTACTATGACTATTATGTTATAACGTTATTACGCATATGCGATCGACTTAATATCGCGTCGAGATACCAGCTAATACCCAATGTTGTATAACTTTTATTATTATTATTATTATTGTGGTTGATCGTACGATGACAATACATTAGGTATATGATATTATCATGAACATTATTGCGCACGTCGTTGCGCGGATTTCGCGACGGGCCTGCGGAACGCGTAGAATGAGTCGGTAGCGGAGAACGTCGTGCCACGGTCGTCTGCGACAAAAGCGTCGGATGAGTTACTATGGTTAGGCAGATATCGTGAGATGGGTATGGTGGGTACCTATTGGACGTCCGGCGGTCCCGTTTTCAGCGGTGGCAGCAGCACTGGCGAAAGCAGCGCTGTGGGACAAAGAAATTTTCACACTGAAACGCGGCGCAACGAAATTCAAACATACCATCGCATCGGCGTGGTGTTCGGTACTTCGGTTCGTCCGTCGCGTATATTACCAAAATATTGTGTGCGCGCGCGCGCTCGCGGGCCGGGTAGTCTCGGGCCGTTGGAGGGGTAGGACTGGTACGGTGGCCGGGTGGCGCGGGAACGGTCGGGCGGGGAGCCGAGAGAGAAAAATACACGAAAAATAGAGAGAAAAAACATCGACAAAAAAAACAGAAACAACGGCGCGAAACGCGGACAATAAAGTTTTTTTTTTCGGCAGTGCCAACTTTGAAAGTTTGCACGGTAATTTCGGACCGGTCGGCGGTCGCTGCACGCGGAGAGCGGCCGCGGCGTCTTCGGGCCACCGCGCCAGTTACCCAGGCTCCATATACTTGTCTATGCAGAGGCCTGTCAGGGGCAGTGGGCAGTGGCCAGTGCTTTATGGTAGTAAACAGTAACTAAGTTGTCAATCTCGCCAAATTACATAATACGAAATCATCGAACAACGCAGGGCCAATGTTGTGTTGATTTATCTCTTAATGTTGTTATTAAAGCGTGCACACACACTCGCACACTCAATAGTAAAAAATTATAATTGTTATCAGTCCGCGTGCCAGCGCGCGTAAATGAGTTTTTTTTTATTAATGAAACGATCGTCGGCGGCGAGTGTTAATTAGTGCGGGACGGGGGGGACGTCAATCCGACGGCCGGTGGGGGCGGCGGCGGCGGCGGTGGCTACGATTTACGGATCCGTAAACATGACCGACAATTATTATAAAAGTATAGTAATAATAATATCCGAATAATTATTTCTGTTATCCGGTGGGCCGTTCGCCAGTTCGACTTGGTCGACGTGCCGAAAAATATAATATGGTAGAGGAAAAAAAAACGTGCTTGCAGTGTGCGCATCCGCTGGCCGCCCGAGGGAATGGCGCGTTCGCCGTGCCGGTCACACTGCGCGCGTCGGCGAACGTTTGGAAAGTTCGACGGCGGCGGCGGCGGCCGCGCGGCTGTTTACACAATTTATACACAGCCGCGGAGATTCGAACGCGGGCAAAAAAAAATAACGAAACAAGGGAAAAAATAAAGAGAGAAATAATATGAATTTTCGACGGCGGCCCGTTTCGGTGGGAGGAGAGAATTCCATTTCACGGAATTACATTGTGATGATCCGTATCGGGTCCGACCTCACTCCTCGTCGTGGTTCTTTTATTATAATGTTATTATATGTATTATATTATTATACACGTTTTATTATTATTTTGCCGAAACCTCGTATATAACACAATGCTCTCGAAAAACGGTACATAATATACTCGTAGTATAATATAATATATAGTATTGTACTTTGCGTCGTCTCCGCGCATATTCATTGGAAAGCCAATGTCTTTTTACTGTTTATAACAATATTACGATGGATACTGGAAACAAATTATCATTAATATGTTTGTGACGTATATCAAATATGTGTACCCGAGATACTATTGTCTTTAATTCTCGAAAAAACCAGCTCGGCCCGGCGCTTACGCATAATATTAATAATATGTTAAACCCTCTACGCACACTACACCGTAATGACAATATTATTGTATGTACGATTCGTCAGCCGGATCGGAATATTTAAAATATTTTGTAGGAAAAAAAATTGATATTACGACGAAACGTCGCGTGTAATGGCATGACGATGAACGGTGGCGGACGGACGGACGGACATAATAATGTATTATAATATTATAATATTACTACGTTTTTCCACTGTAAACACGTGTTACGTACGCGTACCGTGTATATGCTATTATATTATATTATTTTATTATCTGAGATCGAGATGAACTACAGCAAAACCGATCGTCGTCCGGCAATCCGTTCACGTCCATTATTCGTTCGATTTTTCTGGACACGACGCATATGTGTGCGCGCATGCCACGAATTCCGAGAAATGGGATAAAAACTGCCGAAGACGACGATGGTCTCCGTCGCGACGCCCCCAAAAGGCAAAAATGTATAATATATCAACGAGCGGTGAAAAAATGTGTTCTCCAGCCCATGCTGCGGACCCACGAAATAATACATTATTATACGTCGTGTTCGCCACGCGGGTACGGTCGTATACAGGGCGCACGCATCGTCGCTCCGGGCCGGAAATGAAGAATAATATTAATATCATTAATGATATTACATCGTCGGCGAAATACACCACGGCGGTCCCCGACATAATTATTGATCGTGAACATTGACGATTTTATTTATTTTAATAATTATAAATTACCATTATGGTAATATCGTGTTAAACGGAATGATTCTTTGGTCGTAGTACGTATGCACTCCGGATTCACCTTAAATGCATTGAGTAAATAAAGTTGTGAGAGACTTATGGGAAAATGGGATTGGTATAGCTGCGATTATCTGGCTTTTAACACTGCACTGCACACGCCCAACACGAGAATTTAGAAGTGTTATACTTCCAACATATCTATAGTCATATATATAGTCAATAGTGTGATTCACGAATTCTGAAAACTCATTTTAATTCGATTTTTCAATTTTTTAATTTTTTCTACAGACATTGAAATAATGATGAAAGTCGATTGAAAGTCGATCTCAAGAAGAGACTGGTCGAAAAATAATTCAAATATGTTTTCAGAATTCTAACGACTTCATTAGATCAATCAGTACGTTAGAAATAGAACACGTCTAAATTCCTATGAAGCGCGTGTATTAGACATAATTAAGGAAAATCACTGCTTTCAATCTACGATATTATTTTTATTTTTTTCCACATTATTATTAGTATTATTATTTACTGTCATAGTAGCCTTGACCTTATAAATAAACAATATTAAAAAAAAATTTTCTCAGTTATTTAAGGAGTGATAAAAGTATGATTAAATTTGTTTAAATGGTGCACACGAATATTGCGTATCAGTCCCTCGAATTGCGTCCACCTCCTATCATAAAAGAAAGGTAGTTTTATTCTGTGGTAGTAGTTTAACACGAATTGCGTCCTTACATAATAATAATATGTATAGTATTATTATTGTATGTTTAGTTTGAAAAACAAATTAAATTATAATTTATTTGACAAATGTAAATTGTGTTTGTCCAGCTTACTTTAGGAACCACTAATGAATTAAATTACGGTGAAAAAGTAACACGAATTGAATCCTCGAAGCAATTGATACAAAAAGGTACGTTTAGTGTTAGCCTGTCTTGATACAAAATTCGTGGGCACTGTTTAAAACGAAGATGAACCACAAAATAATTATTGTTGGATTGTATAACTTAATATAACTTGTTTTTATACCGGTCTGGTTAAATGGAGAACTAGGACCCTACATAACCCTCGTCAGGCTAGTGTGCAAATAAACTAAGGAGATAAATTTAATTGTAAATTAACTGTGGTTATTTTGTACTCTTTTAAAATGTTTTGTATTATATATGGTTTTGGAGAGGGCTTCCCAGTTTTTTCATTGGAATTTTGCCCCTGAACTCCTGAAATCTTCAGGAACTTTAAGTACATTTTTGCTTCCCTCGACTAATTTTTTTCCAATTCAACCGACATTGATGACATACCGTTCATTAATCGTTCACGTATAACATATTATTATTTATTAACAGTTAATATTACAGGTAGTCAGAGTAGTCGAGAAATTCGAATGTTTCGACGAGATGGGCGAAACGCGGACTATCGGAATACTAAATATTATTTTATACAACGTTTGCGTACAAATTTCATTCCGAACCAACCGCACGAATATAATGTTAATAATAATAATAATAATAATATTTGGCAATAAATCTCGTCGACCCCGCGCCGTCGAACATTATAACCTATACCTGCTGTTGTGCGTTGTGCCGAGCCCGTTTCGAACCCTTGTCGAAAGGCACACACGTGGTAACCTCACTATTATATTATTTTATACAACGACGGTGTACTTCCACAGTTCCCCATGGGGTTTTTGGACTAGCGATCCAAATGTACATCGTTCGTATAGAAAAACGCGCGCGCATCATCATCTCTTGTGCAGTAGGTGGTAGGTA